GTGTTAAAGTGAAGTGTAAATTTATCTTACAGGAATTGCTGGTTAGTAAAACTTGAAAAAATGTAGCAAAAACTAAACAAATGCATTGCAGTAATGGGATTAATGTACATGAATGTGTAGAAAATTGACATTGTTTTCTGTACACTAATTGTTTTTAAAAATATATTAAAAGTTATAGACAAGTACTGACATCTCAGGTAATGTTTTCAATGGAAGCGTTACAGCGATAAATATTCTTATTGCCTTATCAAGGGAAATCTTGGCTTTGTACTACATAGTAATGGGCATTAAAAAGTATTTTCAAAGGCAGACTTTCCTGGAGTTAGTAGTACTGCATGGTAAACAAAAATCAGACCCCTAAAATGAGAACCCCACCCTTGAGATATGCAAAAAGCAAAATAAAATAAATGATTAATGTTAAATCTTTTTAATCAGATTCTTCTTTTTAAGGCTGCGATCCTGCCTGAGCCTATTTAAACCTGATGTTGGCTTCTTAGGGTCAGAAATTCTGCTTTGTTCAAGGGCTGCAGTTGTTGAATTTTTATTCATGCCTGTTATAATAGGAAGTCATTTATGAAGTCCATATGATGGCACTGCTGTCAAATCTCTTTTCCGCTGTCTATTTTAGTTCTTTAAATCTTGTAACTAATGAGTTAGGAACCAACCAAATAATTGATGCAATTAAATGTGGCTTAGCTACAGGGACAGGAATAAAGGAATTCTCCCTCCGAGGAATTCTTCCTTTCCACAGGGGTTTGGAAAAGCCAAAAACAATAAGCTAAAAGGAATTAAAATAATCTCAAAAGAAGAAAAATGCTTAGCAATCACGTCTCATATTGAAAATGACTGAGTGGTCCTCCTGATGTGGTTTTAAGGTTTAAACTAGAAAGAAGTTACCATAAAACAGGAGATAAACCTGTGCCTTATCTTACTTCTGTATATGATAGTGTTGTATTGTAAACTAATTCCTGTGCCTCCTAAACTGCACACACAGAACTAGCCCTGATTATATTTTAAAAAGCACCCTTTTATATAAATACTGGTACCAGGGGAGTTTGTTTTAAAAAAAAAACAGGCAGTGTGACATCCTTGGTACGATAACAATTAGTAGTTTTTAAGGAAGAGTGCTAACAGAATATTTTTACTTTGAACTTATCCGTGACTCAATGCAGAAAAGTCATTTGGATCTTTAAATACAGGTTGAAAGTTAGAAAATCGAAGCAAAATCTTAAATTACTTGTCATCGGGGTATTCGAGGAGGCGTTATTGGTATCACAAGTTGCCGCCCTCCTGGAGTTATAGAGAGATGGTGTGGAAATGAGACTAGGGGAGGCTGAAGAGATGCTGGAGTAGTGTTACAATATGTATGTTCACTAGTCACTGTACACAAATTTGGCCTTGCGTCCAGTTGTCCAGATGGTGATAAGTAATGAAGTAATAAGTAATGAAGACTTCTGAGTTGCTGTGTGGGGGGAAAAAAAGCCACACACCAAGAGGTCTACTTTGGAAAACAAAAGACCAAGAAAAAAGTATTTAGAAAAAAGAAGAAAACACTGATTCATTGTCATGATGGGGAAAAAAACTCTAATGTGACTGTTTTACTTGCCAAAGTATGAGACAGATGTGTTTCCTTAGTCTTGTGTAACACCTTACAGCGCTTAGTTATGTAAACTCAAGGCTACAGATCTATTGCTTTGTAAATACGTGGTAAAAAAATAGACTGCCATTACACAGTACAGTAGTTTGGTACATTATGAGCTTTATGACTCTCGTACATTTGACCCTGATGAAAACGTAAACTTCGCATTTCCTCCCATGAAACTGTATCGAAATCTGGGGAAGAAGCCTGAAATATCCAAGAATTGGTATTTGGTCATACAAAATATAAATCAGACAGCTATTGTCGTCTTATTCCCCGCACAATACAGACTGCAAAAACAGTCAGGCACTTTAGAAGTCTGCAATGTAATTTGTTTAACATTCTTTTTTTACATCAGTGACACAAAAGCAGTGTCTTTCCTTGTTCTGTCACAAGCTGGTTATGATGAACCTTCAGCAACTATAGCTTACGATTTGAAATGGACCATTCTTACTGAAGCCGGTTAAGTATCGGCCTGGAAGAGTTTAACTTCTGAGACCTGTGCATCGCCAAGCCTCTTCTGCTTACCCACACCAGAAGCCCATGATGGTGGTGGGGCAATGTAGCCTGTTTGCTGGGAGAGTCCATTTCTGCCAGCTCCCACCCAGGGAAACCCTGAAGGTCTGATGCAAACAGAGCTTTCCTCAGCGGCCCTGCACCACACCCAACCCCAGCAGTGTGCAGCCAGTTTTGCACCAATGTTGGCTGAGCTCCTAGTCACAAACACAGGCTGGAACTCTTGGCTGAAGGACCCATCCTAGCAAAGGCTTGTGTTGAATGAGCCATTTGGGAGCTGCAGTGCTGTTCCAACTTATTTGTATATTGAGCAGAAATTCAGTCAGAGCTTGAACCCTAAATTTTATTCTAATGTTCTGGGGGTGTGGGAATGAAAAGTAGTTAAATGTGGGGCGATCATTTGGTTCCAATTAAGGTGGACCCTTAGTATATCCATAAAGTGTCCAGATGTCTCCTCAAGATGGGTCCCCAATGCTTGGTTTCCATTCAGCCAGACGGTGAAAGGGGATCGGATGTATCTGGAACTGTCCCTTGTTGTTAGTTAGATGGGATCTCATTTACCTCTGAACATCCCCGAAGATGCAACATAACCTCACACCCAATGATCTCACTTGCTCCCTGCTGCTAAAGGAATACCTTCCCTTTTGACCTACATTGTAAAACGGAGAATAAACACCACATGAAAGCCAGAAAACATTTGCACGGCCACCATTGAGGGAATCCTGACTATTTGTATGGAGGTATTCTAGCGTGAAACCCACAAACCCTGAAGTTTTCCCAAAGAAATTAGAAACATACGTCCACCATTAACCAAAGAATATATTGATGGGAGTTTCTGAGTGGCTAAAGCAATAAAGACACTCACTCCTGGCCCAGGTTAGTCTCACAGATTCAAAGCTGGGTCCTATCCCTGTGTTTTGGGATTGGACATAATCTGTAGTTACTGTACATGTGTTATGATCATCGATATTTTTCTCAAACTGTACACTAGTATTTTCATCAATTATAAAAAACTTTGACTATTATTAATCACATCGATCGTAATTCTGACTTGATCAAATTACTGTACAGCAGTCAATCTTTCACATTCACCAATCAAATCTAAGGGACACATTGTCAGGTGTTATCATTAATGTAATCTGTTTCTCTCTCTTCATATCCATGTAGTTTAATGTCTAGCTGTTACCTTTTGAGTTACAGAATACAGACCTATAAAGAATAGTGGCTAAAGACAGAATTGTTTTTACAAATTATAGCAAAACTAGTCTTTTTAACTGGAGCAAATTTTATATGAAACAAAGTTATGATCATTCCTCCTGCCCAAGTTGTACAGGATTTAAGTACAATTGTCCAGGTTCTGGAAAGTTTTGATGTCTATGTATGATTTTAAGTATTAATCAGAACAGCATTGTTTTTATTTTTTTGAAAGGTGTGTCACAACGTGTTAAAGATGATGATGCACTGATAATTAAAAAATCAGACTTTCTATTCTTTGCACTGTAAATACAATATTTTATCATCATATAAAACAGTTGTCTTCTGCACTACATTTTGCTGTATAACTATAACATTGCGGATGTGGTTCTGTTGTACCAAAGGTCTTATTACAACTGGACCTAAATTGCCTGGGCTGCTTCAGGCACAGTTGCCCATTAACTTGTCCTGGGCTTTGACAGTGATTTGTGTTAGCCTGTCTGGCTACTCACAAATTAGTGCAAATTATGTTTAAGTATGAGGTAAAGTGGTAGCTTGGGAAGCTCACTGTCATTTATCCTCTCCAGCTTCAGGTGCAGGGGTGTCCTGAAATCAGATAGATAAGAAAATAATGAAAGTTGATCAAATTGAGAGCTTTTTGGGATTGTAGGTTGCATATACTGTACTGTGTAGCATTTCAGTGATTTATTTGAAAGTACAGCCATACTTGCATACAGTCCTGTTAAATGCTTCCTTAACCATTTGTTTAGTAAATCGTTTTCATGAAAACAGCTCTTGCAAAGGTTGTAGTGGCTGTAAATGGGAGCAATTTCAGAGAAAAGCCTGTTACATTATAGGATTCTTTTCTCTGCCTTTCTTTTCTGTCTTGTCACCATCTTAAGCACCAGGTTTTAGTAGCTGGCCCACTCATTTAAATGGCAAAATCAACCCCAGGTCCTCCTCTTATTTTGCAGTCAAACCCAACTGTTTTAATTTTAAGGAAAGCTCTGGCGTGAGGACAGCCCTGCCTCCACCCACTTCTGCTCCCACATCAGCACAAGTATCATATTTCTAAGTACACCTCACTTTCTATCCCTCTCACAACCCCATCATCTGCCTTAGAGTTCTGATGGGCCTAGTCCTCATAAATCCAGTTTTAATACTGTTGTCATATGATAATGTTGTCTTAACTACTGGATTTTCGGTAAGCATTAAAGGTCATGACTTTTGCTTTATGGTGTTTCTTTCCTCAAAGAATGCCCATGCTTTGGGTAAGCAAGAACGCATGACCTACTGGAAAACCAAGAGCAAAATTATTAATTTAGAGAATGAAGCTCAAATGAGCCAGGGTCATTGAGGAGAGTTTAGACCACACAGCCTGCGCAGCCTATGAGCTGGGGTGAAGATCTTTTACCCTCTTCACTGAGTCATCAGGGACACTGCGTTCAGACCACCCAAGGCCTGGGAGTCTAGCTCTCAATAACACAGAGCAGAGTGGAAAGAGGGAGAGTTGGGCAGAGATTTTAAGTGATAGTTGTATATTTTCCCATAAAAAAATGAAAAAAAAATATATAGGCCCTTTCAATCATTTCTGGACAAATTGCTTTATATTTTATTTGCCAATGAAAAATGTCATTTTTCACCCCTGATTCCATGACAGGGCTCTTTGATATCTGTAAGGGCAGCTGACTCTCCACACTACTGCAGCTGTGCTGTCCAGCTACTGTTCCTCATCCAGCAGAGCGGAAGTGTGAGTTTGTGTTCTGACAGATTTCCTACGTCCCACCTTTGTTATGTTAAAATGAGCTGGAATACTTTCCACAAAAGTGGAGACACACCTACAGTAGGTGCTATTATACCAGTTATTAGAAAATTTCCACCTGTAATGCAGCCACATTTTTGAAACCCAGGGTAGAGCTAAGTAGGGTGCGATCCGCATTCACAGATTTGTTAGGGCGCTGTAAAATGTGTTGTCATCTTCCAGTGCGGGGAAAATTAATCCATGGTAAATATATACTTAGCAAAGTAAGAAATGTCTGGGCTAGAGTGCTGTTCACTCACCGTGACGTCTAAAGATTGATTGGGTTCTATCAGTTTGGTTGATTGAAAGTTGTGGCTCATGAGTTCCCATTATGAAACTTGGTCTCTTTAGGTCTCGGAAGCTGAGCAAGGTTAGGCTGGAACAGTTCTTGGATGAGAGGACAACCAGATCACTGTTGGAAATGTGGACAGATGAAGCTGGTGGAGCACGAGGTAAGAAATTGAAACAGATCCTGATACCCGCTTATGGACATTGGAGACACCTAAACTGAGATCCTATTCCCATTACAGCCTTTAAGGATTCAATTAAGGATCCCCAGTGGAGTTTTCACAAGAGAACAGTTGCTACGTCATAATAACTTGCCTCAAGCCACGATCTTCCTTTAGAATCCTTTCGTGTCACGATTTTAAAGAAACGTTTTATGCTGTCACTGTAATGATTAGTGTTACAGAGCGTGCGCTTATTTGGCAGAGACACAAGTTGATTTCACAACCAAAGCTTGGCTACTGCTAATAACCTACAGTCGGTTAACTCATTGGGGAAAAATAGCTCAGTATGCATCAACACTTTCTCCTCTTCCCCCAAAAAGTACTGGGTTCCAGTATGGAATGGAGACAGATTCAGAAATAAATTGAAAAGTGAGATCAGTGTATTTGATGGAAGAATCAGGACATATATTTCATCTTATTTAAATGTATCATATTTGGTCAGTTATGGAATTTTTCTTCCATTGCAGTAAACAGTACCTGGGAATAGAGAAAGATTTATTTTGGAATTGCGTATGGTCAGTTATAGTGAGCTCTTCCGTCTCCCAGTATTGCTGTAACATCAATGTAAAGAAACCGTCAGGCTAAGACTATCTGGAACAGATCCTGAAACTTATAAAATTTCTCCTTTATTTGTTCTGCAAGAAAAAGCCATGACATCGTGTCTGATAAGAAACTGAGCAGGTATACAGGATACTAGTGTATTTTAAAGGAAAATGTCATGTTATCTTGAGGATGCAGTACCTACTGTACAATGCTATGATCTTCTGGATAAAAAAAAACTGATTAGATCTTTGGAAACCTTACATGTAACTACCTGTCAGATCCATTAAAAAATAAAAAGTGAAGTAATTACTTGCACTAAACAGAGTCTGACATAAATTAGTAAAACTTAGTAGATTTAGTGGAAGAACTATAGGAATAGGCAATTAAAAGTAATGGTAAACATCACAGGTTTACAGACTTCACCACTGTAAACTACAATATTGTCTCAGAAAATTAACTGTTTCTTGTTAAAGGTAATAGGAAGGAAATGTAAGCCTTAGAATAGTTACCACACACTGAAGCAGCATATCTAATTACTTTATGGCATTATAATAAAATAAAATAAAGCATTACACACAAAAACAGCTACTGTACATCTTAAATAAACCCCATTATGTGAAAATTAAAATCTCTAACATGTATTGAATGTACTTTTGAACATCTAATTTTTCTCCTGTCCTGCATGTGGTCTCTCTATGAACCCTGTTAGAAAGACTGCAACAGCTTTTCCTTCAGTTCTAATAGGTAAATGAATACTCTCAGTGTAAATGAAAGATTATTCCTTCCACTCATGGTCCTTGTAAATTTCTTAATGGGATGGTACTGCAGACTTTTCAGATCAAAGCCATATGCAGACAAACTCCACCTGAATCACATTTGGTCTTTACCACTGTTTATAATTGCCTCAGATCCAATTACCAGCAACCTCAAAAGGCCAGTGTACAGTATACAGTATGCAGACTGATTTGTGACAACTGTATATAGTCACTGGCTGCAAACTACAGACATGATCTCATCATCACACCACAATGACACTGATGACCAGCTTCAAATGCTTTCATTACTATAAGGTAGTTATACCCAGCACTGTCGCTGGTTTTGGATTTATGTTATGAATGTATTTTACTTTGCACCTTCCAGAAGAGGGATACATTTAGTACAAATACTAAAAAGAAGGAAAGCATCAAATTTCACTTTAATCAGTTTAAAATGTGCATAACTGGGTGTGGTTGCTATGGGTGGGTGACTCACTGCCTCCTGCATTTAATCCGTTTTTTTTTTCTAATCTGCAAATGGCTGTGTAACGGAGAGTTTCCCTCCTTTACTGTAGCTTTGTGATGATTGGCTCAGTTCCTAGCAAGAGTGACCTACAAGGAAAAGCATGGCTCACCCTTAAACGATCACCCTCTTAATACTTACAGTTTGGTGTTTTCTTAATTAAGAGATTGAGAGACACATTTAAGTTAAAATAACGAAAGCACCCACATTCTAATACTTTGCAGATCTCAAAGAATAGTTTCCATTCCTGACTAAATTGAACGTATGAAATTATCAACTATTTTAATTTTTAAACACATTTGATAAAATCTGCTAAACTGTGGTCATTGTTAACCACAGTTGGATTATAGAGACAGCCACAAACTGATCCTATTTCATAGCATTGAACATACCTGTAGTACAGAGCTTCCATTTTACAAAGGATATTAGGCCTGATCCTTTGATCTTTCTCCTCACTCTCCTCTCCCCACACCAATTGTAATCTTAGGATGGAGTTTTTTTTTCACTTGAAAAAGGTCCCTGCCTTCTACCTAAGGGAAATCTGACACCAAGCGGAACCAATTTGTGGTCGGCAGGTGGGTCAAACTTCTGATTTTGTCTTGACTGTAGCCCCAACTCCAAAGATACTGGTATCTAAGAACAGGAAATGAAGCTGGAAGAGACCCACAGTAGAAATACATGAACATGTAAAGAAAGTAATAACACATTTACAGCTGTGTCCAAGTGAATTAGCCTTTAATCCCTGATTTAGGTGCAATTGTGATGATCCCTGCTTTACTCACCTGATGATTCTTATCTTATATTTCCAAATGTCTGCCCGTCCAGGCTGTTGTAAGAGATCCTTACTGAGAGATCAGAAGTGTAGTCTCTCATTAGGTGTTTACTTAAGAATTTGAGATATTCTGGATAATAAAAGCTCCTATATAATTATGTATCAGATGATCTCAGCGATAAAATATGAAAGATGTAATTTCTCATATAATTTACCATTCAAAGTAGAAATGTAGACACTGGTCACCATTCTGTCTGGGCTGAAAGTTTTTTAGATGGTGTTGCATAACGTAGATGCCCAAATCATGACACTCGTTATCACAAAGAACAGTGCTTTTAAGAAACAATACAAAACACATCTTGAAAACAGTATGTGGTTTCTTGAAACACATATTGCAGGATTAAAGGAATCCAAGCAAGTCCCTGAAGTCTCAGTTCAGCCAAGTGAAATAAGGAGAAGCTTGGGGGATATCTTACCATGTACAATGGTCACATTTTGCTAACTGCTTCTTCCAGTTCAGGGTTTGACAGGGAGCCGGAGCCTATCTTGGCAAGCATTGGGAACAAGGCAGGATACACCATGGATGGGATGCCTGTCCACAGGGCACACAGACACACAGTCACACCAGGGCCAATTTTCTCGGAAGCCAGTTAGCTTATAATAATAATAATAATAATTGCTTACACTTATATAGTGCTTTTTTGGACACTCCACTCAAAGCGCTTTACAGGTAATGGGGACTCCCCTCCACCACCACCAATGTGCAGCCCCACCTGGATGATGCGACAGCAGCCATAGTGCGCCAGAACACTCACCACACATCAGCTATCAGTGGGGAGGAGAGCAGAGTAATGTGGCCAATTCATAGAGGGGGAATATTAGGAGGCCATGATTGGTAAGGGCCAATGGGAAATTTGGCCAGGACGCCGGGGTTACACCCTGGGATTTTTAATGACCACAGAGAGTCGGGACCTCGGTTTTACGTCTCATCCGAAGGACGGCGCCTGTTTACAGTATAGTGTCCCCGTCACTATACTGGGACATTAGGACCCACATGGACCGCAGGGTGAGCACCCCCTGCTGGCCCCACTTACACCTCTCCCAGCAGCAACCTTAGCTTTCCCAGGAGGTCTCCCATCCAGGTACTGACCAGGCTCACACCTGCTGAGCTTCAGTGGGTTGCCAGTTGTCAGTTGCAGGGTGATATGTCTGCTGGCATGTTAGCTTACCTGGATGTCTTTGGACTGTATGAGCAAACCAGAGGAAACCCACGCGAACACAGGTAGCCCATGCAGACTCCACACAGACAGCACCCCAGGTCCAGAATTGAACCCTGGGCTCCAGTGCAGTGAGGCAGCACTGCTGGTCGATCACTACACCACTGTGCTGCCCTCTTTGTACTAATTAACCAGAAATTCGTTTTTGATCAGAAGCTGGGTGACTGTTTAGTTTCTCAAAGGTTTTTAGGTAAACGTTATTGCAGCTGTTGATATCTGAAATCCGTCCAATTTTCAGTTCAATCAGTATGGATCTTTGTAAGAAGATGACTGGCAAGCACGAGCAGTTTTCTTGAATTGGAAGCCTAAATAGAGGAGGGAATTTGTCCGAAAATGTAAAACAACTGTAAGCAAACCAAAGATTTGTGCTTTGGGATCCTTTTGATTGAAGAGTTTGCCGTTCTTATTACTAATATGGTATGAAACAAACAGTTCACCATAGTCACTGACATTGATTTTAAAAGTCTAATCCCTTTCAGTCTAAGTAAGAAGGAGGGATTAAAGGATTTTCCACATCTCGTCTCTGAGTCTTGTGAAATTGATTTAAATTACATTAGGCCCTGTGACTTGCTTGGGTGAGATGAGCGTGAAAGTGCTTGATGGTCTCTGGCTTAAGAAGAGGGCTGCAGGAGATGGCGTGTAATGTTGTTTGAAGGTGCGTAAATTCCTCACAGATGTGCTGGGGTTTTGAGAGAGCAGAAGAGGCCTTTCGAGAAAACCGAGGGGATCAAAGAGCATATTACTGCTTTGGTTTTCCACAGGCTCAGGGTCAGCTGCCTGTCTTGACTGCAGAGGTAGTTTCCTAAAAAGTTTTTTAAAAAAGTGTTGCAGGGCAAGGCTTCCAAAACGTTAGGATCTCAGTGTCTTCAGTTTTTTTAGTTTTGTGGTCTAAGGATCTCATCCAGCTTTTTCAAGAGCCTCCGAGGAATGGCTTCATCAAAATGCTGGGGCTGTTTGTTTCAGCACTTTCTCAAGCAGGCTAACCTGTGAACTTTGTAATGGGAAAACTGAAACAAAGCAGACTGTCATTCTGAGAGACGGCTTGGGCAAGTCTCAGTGTTTTTAGTGAATGA